AAAGTGAATAAGAAAAATGGGGCATAAGCAATGGCGAATGCAAATAGGAACATACAGCACTGAACAGGGGCATCAGTCTATAGTATGCATGGAGAAGGCTCACAAACTGATCACATATTGATAGCAACTGGTTTTTAGAGATACGCTAAAAGTTCAAACAGATGTCAATGTTAAAGGTTCTCTGTGCCAAAATATGTTGTTTTTTTTTCATTTGATTGAAATGCCTGTAAAGACTATCCAGTAAAAGTACAATACTAGAATACACACATGTGCAGGCTTAATTCAATTTTAATTTTTTTAGCTCCGCTGTCGACTTTGTCGAGCGGAGCTTATCATATGAGTGATTGTCCGTCGTCGTCGTCCGTGTCAATGTTTTACTTTTTTGACTTCTTCTTGAAAACTACAAGCCTGAATGCTTTGATACTTGGTGTATATGTACCTTGGGTAGACCTCTCTCAGATTTGTTCATTTCATGATGATATCTTCAATTCTCTAATTTTGGTGAATATTTTTGTCAATTTTGGTAAAAAGTGATATTTTCGACTTCTTGTTAAAAACCGCAAGTCCAATTGCTTTGATATTACATATATAGGTACTACATGTGGACCTCTCTCAGATTTGTTTATTTTGTAATGATATCTTCAATTCTCTAATTTTGGTGAATATTTTTGTCATTTTTGGTAAAAAGTGATATTTTTGACTTCTTATTAAAAACCGCAAGTTCCATTGCTTTGATACAATGCATATTGTTCATTTTCTAATGATATCTTCTGTTCTTTTATTGAAATGTGCATTGCTAACAGCGGAGCTATCTCAGCCGACTGGCTGCTTGTTTCTTTAACAGATCAGTGAACTTTATGGTTTGGTTTTTATATTAACAAAATTTGGTTGGTTGTTGCTATGTGATTTAGAATCAGGATTTCAAATCAGTACAGTACGAGTCACCAACCAGATTATGTTCACCTCGTCTCTGACGCCTGACAGCAAAGGCATTGTGGGAGTCTGTAAAAATGGAAAGGTAAGTAATCACCTCATAACTGTTGTCCTATACCTTGGTTTCTGTTCTTGTTTCTGTTGGTTTCCTATTTGCTTCGGTCACTTAACCTGTTCTCCACCAGACTTTCTCACCCAAATTTTTCCGCACTTTTTTTTTTCTTATAGTCTTCAATATTTCTAGAAATGAACACTAATTTTGGAGCAAACAAAACAAAATTTTCAGTTTTTACTCAGAAAATTTGGCTATTTTGCCCCAATCTTCTGAAGGAAAGTGCAGACTATAAACAGGACTGTTTTGTGATAAAAAGAGAGAACTGTGGTGAAACTGTCAACTCATGACAATGATGCCAAGATCATCAATTGATAGTATAAAAACACTGCACTCCCAAACTGATTCTGTGATGTTGAAAATGAGGTTTATATGTAAAAAAAAAAAAAAAAAAAAAAAAAAAAAAGCTGTTTGTTTGTTTCTCATTTATAATATAGTAAATAAATATCATTTAAAGCCATAGATCATAATATGAATGCTGTGAATATGTCCCTACAGCACAGAAACTCTTTACCGCTAAAAGGCACGAATTATAGGTACAGGCCGGTATTCACTGATTTTCTCTGACCTTATTGTACGTTTTTATTGCTAGGTATTGTCAATACGAATACAAGAGGGAGAATTATTACAACACCTACAATGTAACTGCAAAAAGATTGTCATTGCGCAAAGACTTGCCAAGCAATTTACAAACAATGACAAGAAAAGAATATATCCAGAGTATCCATTTACAAGATACGACACTGCTGTCTGATTCTCTCTAATTGCATCGTCGAACAAACTCCCCATGTATTAACAGTAATCTGAACTCTGCTGCTTGAGGTGTTTCACTGAAGACAAATTTTAAAATGTCTTTATTATGTAATGTAAAAAAAAAGTCTTTATCAAAAATGTTTAAAGCCCAGTGGTCGTCGTACAGCGCGTGTTTGAATTTCATGACGACTGCCGACCTTTAAAAAATGGTCCTTCTTATCCCTTGATGAGTTGATGGTTTATTTTTTGCATTTTAATTCAAACTGATATTTTACCTTATTCATATTTTTTAAAGGCTGTGTTTTTCACAAATTTGTTTTTTTTTCAAATTATCCTTCAGACGACAAATGATCGCTAATCCCTAGATAATTCTACAACTGTCTAGGCGCTGCTGGATTAAATCCAGATAAATAAAGATTTTTTTTGTATTCATGTTTTTAATCATTTTGCACTCCAACGATAATTTTGACTCACTATTACCGAATATACACAGTATAAAAAGTTACCTATTGATGCTTTACATTGATATATGCAAAAGTAGTCTTGACTTTTGCTGTCATTTCAATTTTTCTGATCTGACTTAACTGTCATTCGGATTTCATGGAATATCATTTCTCTCTAAAATGCCCATTTGCATTTTTATTATCAAATGAATATCATTTTTATATCAATTTCTTTCACTTTTTCAAATGTTGACAAATATTTGTTTGATTTTTACTCCTTTGAGTTTCAGATCCTGTTAAATTTTTTTTTAGATAAAGTGCATATTGTTTTATTTGAAAGGCTAAATCTATGTGAAAATAAAGATAAATATTTCAAAATATTTTTGAACTGTTTAATAAAAAAAGTATTTTTTTTTTTTTTAAAAGGCAAGCAAACATAGGCTCTTGTTCGTTACAGCATTGATGGGTTGACTTTGAAATCAATGATGTGAATATAGGCTAGAAATAGAAATTTTCTGATTTAAATAACTTTCTCAAAAATAAGGGTCACAAGTCTTTATTTCAAACTTGAACTTTGACCCAATTTATTAAACATGAGATCATGGCAACCACAACCTTTTGCATGGTCTTTGCCATTGTCAACTTTTGTAGTTATCTACAAAAAAAGTTTAGATTCTGAGCTGTTTTATTTCCATACAAAAATGGTGATTTATCAGGAGTCTATCATTTGTTTTTGATAATTAATTAATGCTTGAAATTAGATAATTTTTTGGACACATAATGGGTATTAAGCAACTGCCATTTATACATAGTGCGCTTTCGTAGGATTGTCACATTATTTGGTTCTGCTGCACCATCCGCACAAAAAGTGCTTTTTTATGCTTCAATGCAAATTTTATATCACCATCTTTGTTATCATAATGATTTCTGGAAAATCTGAGAGAGATTAACTCGTTTCTGGAATCATGTTCATTTCATAGCATGCACACATAATGTAGATCTTATTGCAAAGAAGTACAAATGAATTTCTAACCGTTCGCATCACAGCGTACATTGACAACATATACTTTCATGTTATGGGATATGGGGCATGTTTGCTATTTTAGAAAACTGGGTCTAATGAATCAACTACTTTGCATAACAGTGTTTGATATATACCAATTATGTCACATGTGAAACAATGTATTGTTTACATGAAATTCAACGCTGCAGAGTGACCAACGCCATTTAAATAGACTCTCTGCTGAATCAACAAAATATGAAAAATAGTGCTAAATCTAAATAAGCGTGTTTCTTAAGAGAGTCGCTCATAATAACCAAGATAGTAATAAAAGAATTTATTTCCTGTGGGAAGGCAGGTTTCATTAGATGTATTAGAATTCGTATGTCGCAGTACAATTTTTATGCAAATTTTGAAGTATATCACGATTATTTATAGAGATTTGAAGCTCATATTGTAATTGATAATTGTAATTATAATGTAAGGGGGAAAGATATCTAAGAATGCCCTCTGTGTTTGAATTCATCGAAGATACATCAGCAGTAAATGGGTTATGATAAAAACACATAAATTGTATTCTGTGTCTTCTTTTAATCTAGTGGCGTACAAGCATTTTCTGATATCATAATATCTGCTATTTTTACCTTGCCCGTAACATCAAAGATGGAAGGGAAAGGTATATTAAGGGAAAAATTTCTGTCCGGCGTTGTCGTCGTCGTTAATAATGTTATTGTGTGCACAATAACTTTACTAATTCTATTCCAAACTTTATCAAACTTGGTCACCTTATTCATCAGTATAAAGTCTTCCCTGGGTATGAAGAACAGATGTCCTGTATGAAAATATCACGCAAAAATTGAGAAAATCTGATAAAATATTTTCTACTTGACTGATCACTGGTGATACACATTCAAAGGTCACTGATCCCAGTGTGAATGTGCATTGCTGTATGTGTTCAATGAAGCAAATCATTTATCTTGTAATAATACCCTTGGTAATGTATCTCAGAATCCCATACTGGGTTTCAAAACCAACTCATGGAGAGATTGCACAGTCTGATACACATTTGCAAACCTACCAATAAAATCTTTACAGAAAACAAGATGTCAGAAAATCAATATAAGCACTCCTATGAACTGGGTGCCTAACTTTGATCAAGATTTGAAGCTAATAGAAAATCTGTTTAGTTCAAAGTTATCAAATCAAAAACAATACATAAAAAATACATTAAAAGCAAAACATTTCATCCACATTTTAAAAAGAAAATTATTCTAAAATATATGTATTCTGTATTTGACAAACAGTTCATTCGACAAATGAAAACTCACAGGAATATGTTTCAGCTATTAGAACAGAATGATAGAGTTTTTATAATACTAGTTTAAAAACGCACTTCAAAGATTGCAGTGTTTGAAGATGTAGATTCTCAGGAGGCAACAGTACTGTTGACTTCTCCCTCCACTGGACACCAACTAACTATTTAAGTTGATTTGCATACAAAGCAGAGCTTGCAACATGATAGCTATTCATAAAAGGTGTTTTTTTTTACTTTTCATATATACAGTAGTCACACAATGAGCAGTCATATTTGTCT